ACACCTGTCCCTACGTTCACCTCCTGTCTCCTCGTGATTACACTCAGGTTATGTAACTTGGGCAGGAAAGTCACAGAAGTGACGCTGCATTTTCTCACTGGGTCCCATCAGGTGACGTCACAATTTCGTTTTGTCACACGGCTGGTGGTAGTGTTCGCTCTGATCCCCTGATTTAGGTAGTGGTGTTCTCCAGACCTCGCTGTAAAGTCACCTGTTTCCCTTTGTTGGTAACTATTGTGTTTGGATTTACTTTGAAACTATATAAATACCTCATTTCTCATTAGATTTTTAAACTTTCAGATCAGTATGGACTCCTGGTTTCCTCTTTAATGTATGTAGTCTGTGACCATTGGCGTTGATTTTGAGTACCCATGACTCTTCGAGCCCTTCTTTGCTTTCTGGCACAGAATGTTCTAGCGCCGGCTCTGGGAGGGCCCGAGGAGTCCTGGCTCCTTTGCCGGAGGCTGGTATTTAGAAACCGAGCTCAGGCGCTAGATGCGCTCGTTGTTGGATGTTGCTGCCTCCTGGCCTGTCGGTGGACAGAACGAGGACCCTGTGTATGTACCCAGCCGTTCAGGTCTGTGTTTTTGATGTCCTGTATATCATCATGAGGTCGCACTGACACCCCCGATTCTGATCCAGTCCTGCAGGGTTTATTCTCCCTTACTCGTCTTTGTTTTTAATTTTTTTTAATGTTTATTATTTTTGAGAGACAGCGCGTGAGTGGGGGAGGGGCAGAGAGAGAGGGAGACAGAATCCGAAGCAGAGCTGTGAGCACAGAGTCCGATGCGGGCCTCGAACTCACGAGCCATGAGACCGTGACCTGAGCTGAAGTCGGACGCTCAAACGACTGAGCCGCCCAGGCTCCCCAATTCTCCCTTATTGGTAACTCCCTTCCCTGACAGTGAGGACCCTGGATCCCGTTATCCTGAGTTTGTTCATTTATTTGATCAGTCCTCCTGGTTACGACCCATCTCCCATCCCGTTGCCCTGCAGGAGCGTCCTCTTGACCCAGCATCTCCCCGTTGGGGCTCTGACCCCGCTCCCTGTTGGGCTCTGCCTTAAGGGCTCCAGAAGGAGACTGGAGGGGGGTGGAGGAGGGAGAGGGGCCCGGGGACTTCCTGCCTGCTCCTCTTTGAGTGATGCCCCTGTAACCCTTCTTCCTCCAGGCCAAAGTGCCTGCCAGTAGTAGCTGCTCAAGGACATCTGGGCGTCAGGTGGGCTTCTCTCCCTCTCAGCTTCTCGGGTCCCCGCCCGTGAGCACAGAGACCCCAGTGCCAGCAGCAGCCCACCCTCAGCCGTGTGGAGCCCTTTGCCTAGTTTCCGGAATTCCCTCCTTCGGTTCCCTGACCCCACGGGTAGTCGTGTTGCTTCCTGCGTGTGCGCCTGCTGTGTCTGTGGCGAGTTAGCGCTCCTAACGGTTCTTTACGTGAAACTTTGGTGCTCAGAGAGCTGGTGTGCTTCTGTCTCTGGGCTCCGCCCGACCCGGATGACAGGGTCACCCTGGTTTTGCATTGACTCTGGTTGACAGCCCCCTCTCTGCCGTTCACCTGAGAAGTCCCGTGGGATCAGCGTGACTTGGTGGCCCTGCGCAGTGGACAGGGCGGTCTGCTGCCGTGCCTGCTTGTCTTCGTGATTGGTACACGCCAGTGTCACGTTTTCACTGCGTCCTCAGAACTCTTGGGTCTTTTCAAGCGTTCGTCCCATTTTCCCTGGTTTTCCCGTTCATCTGACTGGCCTGGTGAATTCATGCCCATCCAGTTCGGGGAAATTTGCGCAGAACTGTGTACAAGGCAGAAGCAACAAGACCGTTTGTATCAAAGAGGAGGAGGGAACTCGACGAGGAGGATAAGGTGATCGATGTGGAAAGAACAGGGATGGCCGCGAGGCACTTCGCTCCTACCTGCCTCGGTCCTCAGGGTCAGTGGGCCCCTGAGGTGGGTGAGGAGTCCCGGAGGACGAAGTGGCTTCTCTGGCACGGCTGGCTACCAGGTGGTACACGGAGGAGCTGAAGCTGCAGAATGGGCGCTGGGCCGCTCGCCCCCGACCCCCCTGCACCGTCAGGCCACGCCAACGCGTAGAGATGGTTACAGCTGGAAGTTACGACAAACACTGCATGTTGTCAACGGCAGACGAATAATGGGTTATCTATTTTTAAAAGCCGTTTAGCAGAAAGTAGGATTGAAGGTTAGATCTTTAAAGAGTGGATAACTTTGTAGGCTCTAATAGTGAAATGACGAAGGAAAAAAATGAATCAGTTCAGTTTTGTTGAAAATATTTTTATGAAAAGTAATTTCTGTAAAGTAAAAATAGCGTAATTGAGATGAAAAGCAGGAACCGAGCGGAGGCGTGGCGTTTACAGGTGGCATGTTTCACAGAGTCAGAGTAAAGCACTTATGCAGTAGGTTAAACAAGATTAAGACGTGATCGGTGAGCAATTGTGATGAGTGGGTAGTCCTCCCCGTAGGGCTTACGAGTAGACTCGCCAGGCCTCAGAGAACTGTCCGTTCAAAGGCAGGTGAACCATCCGTGTATGGTGTTGGGGGGCGGGGTGTGGTGACAGATTAGGAACCACAAAAAAAGTTAGTGCCTTTTGGAGAATCCTGGAATTTCATCCTAAAATTACTTTAAAATAGTAAAAAAGCTTCTGTGCATGCAAAGGTTCATTGCAGATTTATTCACCATAAAGAAGGTACTGATTTTCAAAATTAAAAGTTTAACCTGTCTGTTCAGTAGACACATGATTTACAATTGTTGGTGCACCAACTTAGTGAAATAGCATGCATCTGTTAAAATGATAATTGAGTGGTACAGAAACATGAGACATCTAAAAAGTAAAAGAATACAGACGATATGAAACATGGAATATGCCTACGAGCAAGAGTGGCACGGGGTCACGGGCAAATTAAAAGTGGCTCATTACGGGTAGGATTCTCTTTGATTTTCATGAATATGTGTTTGGGTTGTACATTGAAAACAGTGACTGCCACCTCTCGTGAGTCTTGGGGTTTTGTGGAACAGTCCAGAATGTTGCATTATGCCCCTGCCAGAGCGAGCATCTCTGCGGTGTGCACTCAAGTGTGCTCTGTGCCACAGTTTGTTCGTAGCGGGTCAGCTCTCTTTCCTCTCCTACACTCTCCCTTCTGGTGGTAAAATACAACAGATGAGATTTGCTGGGATCGTTTTTTTTTCATTGTACAATGAACGGTACCATGCGGTTCCCCTAGAAGGTACCAGGAGAGGTTGAGGTTTTTGGTGGCTGTTTGAAGTACAGATATCTATTTGGAGTTTTGGGAATGGTTGTTTGGGGGTGATATGTGAAAGAACTAAAAAGCCATAGATAACCTTTCAAGTTCTAGCCCAAGGGTTTTCTTTAGCCTGGCCTTTTGTTTTTTGTTTTTTTTTTTTAAATCAGTCCCCATGTGTCCTATTTCCTGATCTCTGTGCTGATGGGCATTTGCACTGATAGTGGTAACAATTCACTGTCCTTAGGCACCAAGAACCTCGTGGTGCTCTGGCTGTTGTTGCCGTGATCACTGAACCATGGTGACCAAACCTTAATGGTATTTATTAAGCAGCTATTTAAGGAGAAAAACTGCAGAATTCCGTTAATAATATGGAGCTCAATTAGAAATCCGGAAAACGTCAGATTGCAGGTTTTGGCTGCAGGCTGTTGGCTGTTTTTGGAGACGATTGCAGATGCACGTGTAGTTGCGAGAAATAACACAGAGCCTTGTACATTTTGCCCAATGGAAACGTTTTGCAAAACTAGTAGTGGGGAATTTGAAAGAGAACTGTGTGAAGGTCAGTGTAAAACGTGGATTTAGGCCTGAAGGTGAAAATGAGAACAGCTGTAAGAGATGTGACGCGTGGTGGTCAGGAGTGCATGGTCCCTGGAGTCGAACTGCGGGACTTCTGTCCTGGTGCTGCCTCTCGCTCCGCTCCTGGAACGAAATTACCCGCGGTCTCTGGAAAGGTTTCCTGGGCTGCGGTAACAAATTACCATAAACTGGGGGGCTTAAGACCACAGATATTTTCCTCTCACAGTTGGGGAAGCCAAGTCCAAAGTCAAGGTGTGAGCAGGGCTGTGCTCCCTCTAGAGGCCCCCGGGAGGACCCCTGTCTCTTCCAGCCTCTGGCGCAGTTGGTGTCCCGTGGCTTATGACTGCATCACTCCAGTCCCTGCCTCCCATCTTCCCGGGGCTGTTTCCCTTCTGTGTCCAGATTCCCTTCTCTTAATAAGGACACCAGTCCTTTTGTGTTTAGGCCCCATCTCGTTCGTGTTTGTGACCTCAACTTGACTACCTTTGGAAAGACCCCACTTCCAAATAAGGCCACAGTCACAGATTCTGGGTGGACACTACTGATTTGGGGAGGGGGGAGGAGACCCTATTCAGCCCAGCACGCTGTCCACAGAAACCTGGCTCAGTTTTCTCCTCCCTACAACGTGGATAATAAAAGGATGATTATTCTGTTACCTGTGCATGCGTGCATGGAACACATGAGTGCCGTGTAAAGTGCTTCTGCCCGTTTCTTACCGAGGTCACTGCTAGAGTCCCCACGTGATTAGCAAGGATGGTTACGATGTCCGGGAGCACCGCCTGCACTTCAGAGATGGCCGTCGTTCTGCAAGAATTTTGTCTCGTGTTCCCCCCACCCCACCCCGGGCTACCCTGTGGCTCCACGGAGCCTACTCACCTCCAGTGTACCTGCTGCTTGTGTTCATGACCAGCGGCAGCGGACCTCTGTGTGGCAGCATCTGTCACAGCAGATGCTGAAGGACAGGGGCTAAGGATGAACATCTGCGTAGTTGAGCGCAGACACAGACTTCCCGACACCTGTCAGATACCAAGCATTTTAAAAAGTAAACCTTTGTTTCCTGAAAAAGCTGTGTCATGTAGTGGAATGCCCCAGTCAGGTTGTTGAATTTTTACGTAGTACCAACTTACTAGAGTAAATTGTTGATTTCCTTTTTTTGAATTTATAGCTAAGCCGTTTACACAGCTGGTCAAGGAGATGCAGCTTCATCGAGAAGACTTCGAAATAATTAAAGTAATCGGAAGAGGTGCTTTCGGTGAGGTAAGATGAACTTCTGTTTTGCTCATTTTGCCTAGAACGGGAGAGCAGCCGCCGCCACCAGGCGTCTGTAGGACCCTGTGCATCGATCTGGGGGACGGGTCGTTGTCACTGTCACTTGGAGAGTAGTTCTTGGTGGGCGGAACCTGCGGGGTACAATTAAGAGGAGAAAAATAAAAACAAAAGCTGGTGGCCGGTGAGTTACCCTGAATATTGTCTGGACCAAAATCGTCTCTTTGAGACAAAGAAGTTTATTAAAAGTCCACTTGTTAATTGAAAACATCCCGGCAGTCACCTTCTGCAGAATGCGGGGAGGCCACAGTGGCCGCGCCCGTCACCAGCAGCCTGCCCGCCGTCGGTGCTCGAGCTGTGCCTGGGCCCGGCCTGCGCGGCCTCATCCCGCCCCCGGCCTGGCCTCTGCAGGGGGCGGCCCGTCCAGGCTCCGCGTGTGCAGCGGGCATCGTGCCCCCGCCGAGGCTCCAGCCGCGGCTCCCCCCACAGACTGGGATCGGTGGGTGTACGCTTAGTACCGAAGAGCCGAGCCTCCTAAGCTTCTGGATGCGCTGACCCCTCCGCTTAAGCTTTCCCCTTAGCTCTGCTGCTGGGGCGTCACGTGTGGGGCCCGGCGGTGACCCGCCCTGTCCCGTCACGCGTGCTCTGCCTGACAGTGACCCGACCTGCCGTGACGAGAAGGTGCTCCAGAATACTCGGGACTTGTGTGCAAGGCGTACGTTTCCTCCCGTGTCCAGGTCTGGTTTTGTTGTTTAGTGAGGAGAAAGAGACCTTTCAAAATTGAAACCCGATTCAGCGCAGCATGTACTTTTGCCGACTGTCTCCCTGGCAGCAGGACCGGGCCCGGGCCCTCGCGGGGATCTGCGGGGACGCCGCACCCCTAGCACCGGGTTGGGGAGGCGCAGGGGTGCCGCGGGGCAGGGGAGGGTCGCTCTCCAGAAGAGGGGGAGACAACGGTGTTGTGCCACAATAGGCTCCGGTGATTTTCACTGCTCTTCTTTGCAAAGAACTTAACTGCACGGCTCAGATTTCTGAGCTTCAGAGAAGGGGCCTGTGTCACCTTTTAAGTTCCTCCCAAACTCAGGAAATCCGTCCTTGCCCAGGCCTTCCCGAAAGTCCTTGGATTCTCTCCCCTACCTTTGCTCCCTCTCCAGGCTTTCTCGGCCTGTGTAAGTCCCTCCCCCACCCCGGGGCCCCATGGCCTGGGCTCAGATCGCCATCGGGCTCCTCCGGCCACTCGGCCATCCTGCGACCCGTCTGGGTTCCCTGCACGTGCTCGCCAGTCCTCCCCCGCCGCAGAAAGAATCTTGGATTCTGTGGCTAAGGTCACTGCCACTGTCTGGTAATGGTGGCGTCACTGCCATTGCCTCCCCGGGGTGTTCTTGCAACCCTGCACCTCATCTACTGTCTTCCACCAGGTTTCTCAGTTGGCCCAGCGATGTTCTTCGTGGCGGTTTGTTTGGGTTCCTCCAGTACTGGATCGGGGCTGGCATCAGGTGTCCCACTGTGTTGTCATGTCCCCAGATCAGTTGTTAATGTTGTGTAAGATCACTTCTGTTGGTTTTCTTTACGGAAACGTCTCATTTTGGAGATGCTTGTAGCATCAGCTCTCTTTGATGCAATTAAGACTGAGTTTTGGGCCAAGAAGTTGTTTCCGGTAAACTAAACAAGATTTTTACAGATTGTTTATTTTATAATTTGTGCAATTAGAGAAAGCTTGTTTAATATACAGGGGTTTTTGTTTTTACATTAAATTTTACTCCTGCATTTCACTTCTACGTGTTCTTGGTTTGACAGGTGTTTTTCTGTGGACAGATGTATTCTTTTTCCTTCTGGGTATTTTATCAAAGGCACTGGCATATTTTCTGGACATGGCCTGTGCCCAGACAGGCCTCTTCTAAAGAAGTAAGCGTCTAGTAAGAGATCAGAGTGCTCTGTGTCTCATTTTCAGCAAGATCTGGATTGTTCAAAAGTTATCAGCTCTACCGTTTCTTCCAAGTGAGGCCATTTCTGTAGTAAATACTAAGTAGCCTTTTCTTCCCTATTTCACCCCTCTGGTAACCACCAGATTGTTCTCTGCATGATGAGTCTGCTTCTGTTTTGTTTTGTTTTGTTTTTCAGATTCTACATAAAAGGGAAATCATTTGGTATTGGTCTTTCTCTGTCTGAACTTACTTCACATAGCATTATACCTTCTAGATCTATCCATGTTATTGCAGATGGTGAGATCTCTTCCTTTTTGCGGCTGCGTAGTATTCCATTGTAGGTATATATGACATCTTCTTTATCCATTCATCAGGCAGTGGACACGTAGGTTATTGCCACATCTTGGCCATTGTAAATAATGCTGCAGTAAACGTAGGGATGCATCTGTCTTTTTGAGTTGGTGCTTTTGTTTTCTTTGGATAAATACCCAGAAGTGAAATTGCTGGATCAGAGGTAGTTATATTTCAAACTTTTTGAGGAACCTCCATACTGTTTTCCACAGTGGCTGCATCAATTTGTATTCCCACCATAGTGCACGAGTCTTTTCTCCACATCCTTGCAGACACTTATTTTTTTTTTGTCTTCTTGATAATGGCATTCTGACGGGTAGGAGGTGTGATACCTTGTGGTTTTGATTTGCATTTCCCTGATGATAAGTGATGTGGAGCATCTTTTCATGTGTCTTGTTGACCATCTGTATGTCTTCTTTGGAGAAATGTCTGCTTAAGTTTTCCGCCTATTTTTAAAATTGGATCATTTGCTTTTTTGATACTGAGTTGTGTGTGTTCATTATCTATTCTAGATATAATCCCTTATGGGATATATCTTTTGCAAATATCTTCTCCCGTTCCATAGGTTACCTTTTGTTTGTTGATGGTCTCCACTCATGTGCAGAAGCTCTTTAGTTTGATGTCCCAGTAGTTTATTTTTGCTTTTGTTTTCCTTGGAGAGAGATCCAGAAAAGTATTGCTAAGACCGATGTCCAAGAGGTTACTGCCTATGTTTTCTTGTAGGATTTTTATGGTTTCAGGTGTTATATTTTATTTAAATCTTTAATCCACTTTGAGGGTTCTTTTTTGTTTTTGTTTTTGTTTTTGCATGCTATAAGACAATGGTTCCGTTTCATTCTTTTGCATGTAGCTGTCCAGTTTTCTGAGAACTGTTGAAGAGATGGTCTTTTCCCATTGCATATTCCTGCCTCCTTTGTCCATTAATTGATCTGTGTGTCTGTTTTTGTGCCAGCACCGTACTGTTTTGATCACTACAGCCTTGTAGTAGTGTGAAATCCGGGCACGTGATACCTCCAGCTTTGTTCTTTCTCAAGATTGTTTTGACTCTTTGGGGCCTTTGTGGTTCCATACAAATTTTAGGTTATTTGTTCTAATTCTGTGAAAAATGCCGTTGATATTTTGATAGGGATTACATTATGGTAGCTTTTGTTTTTAACACTAACATTTCACCTATTGATTGTAGCAGATTTCTAGGAAGAAATCTACACTTCTAATGTGATGACATCACGTGTGCCCAGATTGCATGTTCTGGGACACGTGCGAGAACTCACCGAACCTTTGTTCGGCATTCTTTGTTCTTTATTCAGAATCGGAACGAGCTTGGTTAGTGGTTCTAAGACCACAGCTAGTAAACGGCAGCTTAAACAGGTGTGACGAGAAGAGCCACCACCGCGAGCACTGGGGTGGCAGTGAGAGAGATGACCGAAGGAGGTGACTGGAGGACGACTTCCACATGGTGGGCTGCGGGAAGCTGTGTGCTGTGGGAGGGGCCTTTGACCCTCACCAGACTCTGGGGTTCCATCAAGGCATGTTCTTTGTGGACCCCCCGCCCTATCGTCAGGCCCAGGGAAGATAATATTTAATCATAACTGTCTTTATAATCCTTAACGTGCATGCACTTGAGGGTGAGACTCTGCTACTTGTTAGCATGTTATTTAAACCTCTCAGCCTCAGGTTCCGTATCTATAAAATATGGATATAAAAATAGCCACCATCGAGGACTGTGGTGAGGGTTACCTGAGAGGGTGCAGGTCAATTAGTGAGCAGAGTTCCTGGCACGGGGAAAGTGCCTGGTGCATGTTAGCTTGTGTGGTTACTTTGACGATGTTACTGTATGACATGCATCGTTTAGAAAGCAAGGAAGTAAATAATTGTTTATGCCTGCCGTGTGGCTGTCTGTCATTGGCAGCAGAAAGGGACAGCCATACGTAAGTAGCTTATGGTTTTGTGATGGGGACTTAGGCCAGTGAATGATTTTTGCAGGGTAGAATGTGCCGTATGCTGGCACAGGCATCACATCTGGTATTGGTAAGTGATGTCAGAGCGCGTCTGAGATTTGGCAGGGACTGGGAAATCCAGTAGGACTTCCTGCAAGAGGTGGCATTTGAATTGTACCTTGAAGAACGTGCCTGCCAGCCAACATGCCGAGTGCCCACTATATGCCTAACCCCGTTCGAAGTGCATTTAGGTGTATTCGCTGGTTTGTCCTCATAGCAATCTGGGGCCAGTACTGCTGTTACCACTTTTCTAGTTGTAGAAACTGAGGCACAAAGAAGAGGATTTGCCCAAGTCCCACTCCAGAGCCCACGCCGGCACTCAGTGCCCCTTGAGAACAGATCGCAGAGGCAAGAGCTGGCATGTCAAGGCCGGCGGTGGGAGGAGGAGGTAGACGTAGCACCAGTGGGGCAGGTGGCAGGAGCGTGGGGACGGAACCCTTGAACACGGGGAGGAAAGGTTGGGAGCAGCGAGTGGATTTTTAAAGTTTTTATGGTGAAAGTCCCAGGCACGTGTCCCAGGCTCGCCCAGGGCGGCCAGCCCCACTGTGCGCCCACCGCCCACCACGGAAGTTTTTGGAACTGAGCAGGGATATGCACGTTGTGGTGTGGCAAATGGCAAGGTTCGATGCTTAGCAGGACGGATCTGCATTTACGTGAAAAACTTGTGTCTCCTCAGCAGCTCGTTTTCCAGGGTTTCATTTCTCCGGGCACTTGAGATGTCACTGTAGTTACGTGACAATGTGTGCTGGCTTTTGGTTCCTTCAGCTACGTTTTTGTTAAACTCCTGTTTGTGTTCCAGGTTGCTGTTGTCAAAATGAAGAACACTGAGCGAATTTATGCGATGAAAATCCTCAACAAGTGGGAAATGCTTAAAAGAGCAGAGGTAAGCGTGGAGTAGTAAAGAGTAACAGGAGAAGGGGGTTGTAAGGGGCATGTGCTGGGTCCCCACCACAGTCCTCGCAGAGCTGGGCCTCCCCCCTCCCTCCTTGACAAGAGTGACCTGTGTCTTGTCACCACCGTCTCCGCCCCTCCCAGTGCGCACGCCTCTCTGCGCTCTCCTGCTCACTCCTCTCTCCCTCTGCATGGTCCCCGGCCGTAGAGGGGCTGCTCACTTATATGAGGACCAATCAAAACCTTTGCGGGAACTCTGGGCATTTATCTCAGCTCTGCCTCCCGTGCACAAGGCATTACTGGATCTGGAGCCTGCGTAAGCACAGAGATGTCTGCATATGCCCTCCCAGAGGGAGGACGGAGATCGTAAGCAGAAGTGGGTGGTCACTGCTTGGCAGGTCTAGATGCGCTTTTCCTTACTTTGGTGTCCCTCCCTCTGGGGCCTGTTTCACGGTCCCGACCCTGGCCGCTCCGGCCCCCGATGGAGTCGGTGAGGCTGCTGGGCCAGCCCGAGCTCTTCCTCTGGTCCTACCAGACTCACCCCTGGTCTGCCTTCACCCCCCCCATCCTCTGTGGTCCTCCACTTTGCATCAGGGAGCCAAGCATCCTTCCTTTCCAAGGCTCTGTCACTTACCCTGTGTCCTCTCGCTGGGCTCCCCTCGGCTGAACGCCCTCAGCGCCACCTCTGCTGCCCCAGCTGTGAAGCAAGCTCACCCCGGGACTGAGCGCCCCTGGGATCAGCCACCTCCTCCTCCGGAAACTGCTTCTCTGGTTTCTGGCCTCTCTTGTCGTGTCACTCTGAACCTTTCTTGTAATTTTAGGTGGCCCTTCCTGTGCTCGGTAGTTCTTCCCTGGGATGATGATGCCACTTGGGCAGATACCAGTACAAACGTCTGTTCTGGTCAGATCCCTCCCCTGAGCTCAGGTTGTCGTCAGCTTGGTGGGTGGGCGTTCTCACTCAGTATCCTCAGTGCGTCCTACCTGTCCGTCACGGCCTGTTCTCCTTCCCCGTCCCTACCCTCCTCCTTCCCACCGTGGTGCCCAGCACCGGGCCTCTGCCAAATGAATGCAGGCTGGTTAACTGAAGCATCGCTGTGTTTGTGGTCACCTGGGCCTGGGGACTCTGCCTCAGGCGGTACCGCGGTGGCCGTGCCTCGGCCCCAGCAGCCCTTCGTGGCACCGTCAGCGCTCTGGGGGTCAAGGGAAATCGCTGGAGTGACTCTTCCGTGGGAACAGGGTAGCTGGTGGTGCATAAGAGTTTGGGGGAGGAATAAGCAGGGAAATAAAGGCTAGTAGCAAATTCATTTAAGTTTATATTTTTAGAGGAGTGATTGGTTGTTCAGTGTCAGCCTCCAGACCGGGTGTGTGTGTGTGTGTGTGTGTGTGTTTAAAAGTCCCAAGGTTAGGGAGAGGTGATTCGCGCCTTATAACTAGTTAGTATTTACCCAAATGTCATGGTGAGTACATTCTGAAATTATGAAATTTAAATCTGGTTACAGAGATCCTACCTAATTGGCATAGTCGGAAAAGTCCAAGGATGTCTGCTAATTATTACGATTATCCCAGGGTACATGTCATGGGATATACGTGTGTGTGATACACATAAAAACATAATAATATTGATATAAAATGGTTAAAGTAATTTATCATTTTATTCCTAATAAATTAGTTTACTGTGAACACTAAATCTTTGAAAGCATGACGTCACCAAGAGGGGGCGGTGGAAAAGTCGCTAAGCTGTGAATTCATAACTTTGTGGGTCGTGCTGTGCTTTCTAGCTCATCTGTTTTGCTCATTAAAAAAGTACTGAAAGTTCTCAAAACAAAACTGCTGAATAATACATATATTTCCTGTCTGTGGGTCATCATGCTGGTGACCCTGAGTTTAAGAATGGCTTTTATTCTAAATGTGGATGGGTCGACCCTTGAGAACGTGGAGCCCCGGCCCTGGGGCTTCCTTGCAGCTGCCCTGCGCCAGGCCCTGTGGGCTGGGGGGCCGCGGGCTGGGGGACATAGCATTGGTCTCTGCACATTTGGACATCATAAGCTGATTGCTGGTCCATTTGAGTTGTTTTATCTGCTTTTAATTAGTAGAATTGGGGCACATCTACTTCAGTCATTTTTTTTTGGAAATAAAAAATTTTTAAAATAAGTTTAGAATAGAAAGCTCATAGGACAAAACAAGTTCCAGAGGTCACTGTGAGTCTCATGAGAGAGCAGGTAGGACTCCCCGGTGCCTTGTGGACCAAGGGCTCCCATCAGTGCCACTGTCATTTTTGTTAAGCTTCGCAAGTTTCAGATCTAGAGGGAGTTAAAATCTTAGGTGATCAACAAAGAGAAAGTTTTATTATGATTATGCAAAATACCTGGTCACTTTTAAATCTAGGTACCACCTGTGTAATAAAGCTCTTAAAAAAAAAAATAAACCGTAACAGCCTAAAAGACAGCCTTTTACCTATATGCTGCAGACCATACTTCTTCACAGAATCCTGTTATGACCGTGGCACCAGTTACCGTGATTAAATCACTTTCCAGCGCTCAGCTCAGTAAGCAGGTGTGTGCCCTTTCCTGCCAGCCGTGTGGCTGCTAAACTGTAGGTGTGTGACAGCGAGGGGCAGACGCGGGGCGGCCACGTCCCAGGCTATCGAGAGGAAGCCGGTCTGGTCCAGAGAGGTCGGTCAGTGCTGGGTGGGAGCGGCCCACCCAGGAGAGTGTTGCTGAGATCCACCTGTGAGCCTGGCCGACTCTCCTTTGTCGGCTGCAGAGGTGGCGTGTGTGGAAGGGGCAGGGGCCGGGTCGGGCCCGGCCCGAGGAAGTGAGCTCTCCGACGCCTTGGTGCAGGAAAGGCCTGGGGGAGGCGAGGATGCGTGTGGTTCCAGGTGAGTGAGGGAGGCCGAGCTTCCTGCAGCCTGGGAGGCAGGCGACGCGCGTCTCCAGAGCCTGTCCCGGCAGGGACCCCTCTGCTCAGGACCGTACTCCTTGGACGGGCCCAGACCGCCTCTCCCCCTGATTCTTTACAGACTGCTTGTTTCCGAGAAGAGCGCGACGTGCTGGTGAACGGCGACTGCCAGTGGATCACTGCTCTGCACTACGCCTTCCAGGACGAAAACTACCTGGTACGTCTGGGTCTCAGGCGCTTCAGGAGTCTGTCGAACGGCATGTGGGTGAAATTGGTTGATTCGTTTGTGCTGCTACTAAAAACCGAACAAGGCGGTTTGGAATTGACAGTGTGTATATGTGCTCGGAGAGAACGAAGGGGTGGGTTTAAGGTAGTAACTGGGTGGGGTTTTTTAAAGGCAGACAATTCTCATCACGAGATAACCTGATTAGTTTTGTTCCCCGGGTTTATTACATTTAAATAAACTGGGGCTTCAAGACATTTTCCATCTTGGATTATGTTTGAAGAGAGAGGGCCGCGAGGACCCACAGTGGCTCAGCCTTTGGCGCTGACTGGGTGATCGTGTCACCCACGATGCCTGACGCTGTCCGAGGACACTGCTGGTGTGCAGTCCCCCCCGAACGAGCTGGGCTCGCTGAGGTCTTCTGACGTGGGTTTTGGGGGGACTCTTGTTATCTGTTTCTTCCGACCTAAGTGGGGGCTTTCAGTCTTGACCGGTCAGTCCGCTGTGCGATTGACACGTGTGCCCCGAGGTGAGCGTAGATGCCTGTAAAACAGACACAAAACAGCGGCTCACAAGGGAAAAGAAGCCAAACCTTTGCCCTCAGCTGCTCTTAATTCCAGAGTGACCGTGTGACCGAAGGTTTGCCTAAACCTAAAAAGGTCCTCACGTGGAGCTCTGGGTGTGCGGGGCAAGCACCGTCCTTGGAGAAGCTGGTCTCTGCCCGGCTCCTCCTGCCTGCGCAGCCCCAGCGGTGGCCGCAGGGGCTTCGAAGGTCTGCACAGCCTCGGGCCAGGGACCTGAGCTCGATCTCCCTGAGCTCACCCACACTTCTGTGCTCCGTTCCTATAGCAAGAGGGACATAGGGTCTCTCTTATTCATCTTACAACCGTCTCTTTCCCACGTCAAAGACATCCGTCAGTTTTGAATGTCCAGAATTAGGTAACATGGTTTGTTACACTGTTTATTTAGAATTTACAACATATATGTTTATGTCTACAAAGGGACCGTTATGTTTATCAAGCAGGGGCGCGTGGGTTAGCTCCGTCTCCCCAGGGACCCCGTGCCTTAGGCCCTGAAGGTTGTCACCACGTTTTAAATGGGGCATCTGGAGCGGGAGGGGACGTAGCCACTTGTCCAAGCGTGTGACGGGAGGTGGTGCTCAGGGCCCTTCCCCAGCAGACCGCCGAGTGCACATCACCCCCGCTCAGAGGCGACCATCTCGGGTCCATTTCCGAGGAGTTCAGGCGCAGATCTGTACAGAAGGAAAACAACATATTTTGTTTAATCTTTCCTGAAGTCAGCGTAGTGTCTTGCAGTGTGAAATGTCTGATAGAAGATGGTCAGTTAGCAATCGCAGCCAAGAAGGCATCTTCTTGAGTGTTTGGAGTTGCACAAATAGAGGTACAGTGAAAATCAAGAAGGAAGGCAGGGGCTCCGGGCTTTCTAGTGTGTGAACCTGGGCCCTGGTACTGGGGTTCGCAGACCCGTGGCTGGCTGCTGTCTCTGCCACCCCTGAGTGGTGCTGTCGGGCAGGTTCCTTCTCTCTGGGACCCCGGCAGTTTCTGCCTTTGTGGGGTGGTGGAGAAGCAGGCCTGGAGAGCGGGGCAGGCCGGGTCAGGCCTCCTTCCTCGTGCGGAGTCATTGGGCTGCCCCGCAGAAGCCATTCTCGTTGTTCCTTCTGTTGGAGGCATCTAAACTTGGCGTGTCCTAAAAATTAAACCTGTTTCTCCAGTGACTAGAAGGGTGTTGCCTTGTTGACTTAGAATCCCTGTGTTTCATGACAGAGGAAATAATTGGTCTGGTTCTTACTCTAAAAGTAAGTTTCTGCTTTATGGCCCCTTAGTTTACTTTCTTACGGATTCCTTACAGGTCTCCAGGAGCCTGTCGATCATGTTCAGTGCTGCTGTAAAGCATTTTCATTTTTCTGTTTAGAATTCTAGGCCAGCATGGAAACCGTTGAGACTTGGCTAGATGGGTGCTTGACTTACTCCTACCGCTTTCTTAGGGGCCGGAGAACTTCTCCCTCCGCCCCGCACGCCCGCCAGCCTGTGGTCTGGCCTCTGCCTCCGCATAGTACTCCCCGGTGCCTGTCACCCTCCTCTCCTTCCGGGACCACGTCCTGGCCTCCCAGCCCCTCTTCTGCCCTGCTCTCGGCCCCCATCCTCCGCGCTGTTGTTCCTGAAATTCGTTCTCCGTCAGATGCCTAACTGAAAGTACGACATATATGGTGCAGGAAGGTACTGGGTGGGGAAATCCTGGATGACACAGGAGCAGCTCGGAAGCCAGCGCTCCAGACTGGAAGAGCCGGAGGACTTCCGTGGTAGAACTTCGGCCTTCCGTTGTCAGGCCTCGCGCTGACCGAATATTCTGTTCTCTCCCACCTCTTCCCACCTGTAGTACTTAGTCATGGATTACTACGTGGGTGGTGATTTACTGACCCTGCTCAGTAAATTCGAAGACAAGCTTCCAGAAGATATGGCAAGATTCTACATCGGTGAAATGGTGTTGGCCATTGATTCCATCCATCAGCTTCACTACGTGCACAGGTACGCACCTTTTGTGTTTTATGGGAACGGCATTGAATACGTGAAGATGCCCTTTCGGGGCCCCGAGACTCCGTCGAAGGCTCCAGGCCGTCCAGAGAGGCCACGCGGTTCGCAGACCCTGGGCCGCCCCAGCGCCTGGCGCCAGCAGGTCCCAGCGTTACTGTGACGATGAGGATGCTCCAGCGCGGGTCCCCCAGAGCCGCCTTGTCTTTAGATGTTTTGCTGACCTCAGCTCATCCTCCCGCTGCTGATCCCTCCTCCCTGGGGTGCCCGCCCCCTAGTTCACGGGTTCCCTGACCGTCTGCTGTCTCAGCCACAGCACCTTCCCTGGTGCACGGCCCCCATCATGGCACTCACAGAGGAGGACTGGGTTGGGGAGAGGGGCTCAGCACAGCACCTCGAGCGAGAATAACTGGTTCTGTGTGGCCGTGTGCCTCCCGCCCTCCCGGGCGCGCTGAGGGCCCACCCTGCATCCTGCGCGGGCGCCACCTCTGTGTCTTTCTGCTGCTTAAGACAGCGAGTTCGTCCTGTGGGGTTGGCTGTTTATTTTAATAGTCGTTATCAAATCTGTTCATGGTAACGGTTTTTTCAAGTCAGGTAGCGCTACAGGGCTTAAGAGAAAGCACGCGTCTCCTGCCCTGCCCGGATTCCACTGGCCGCAGGTAGCTCGTCGGCTTTTTACACTGTTTCTTGCGGCATTTGCCTCATATTCCTAACTAACCAGCTTCTCTCGCCATTTTCTTTTTTGCAGAGGAGGGAGAGTCAGATCACATCTGTTAAGATGCAGTTTACTCTTTCCAGAAGTAGCTCTCTCCCTCAGCCCTCTCCCACACACACTCTCAGACCCCCCTCCCACAGCGTCCCAGTTCCCGAGCGATAACTGTTGGTTAAATCCCTGTCAGGTGCATCGTGGAACGCCTGTGTGAGTGTGACAGATGAGCCTGGCGGTTCCCGCATTTCCACTTCCATAAGTCGTCTCCTCTGGGGGTGGCAATGGTCCTGAGTCTGCACTTGCGGGCTTTTCCGTGGCAGCCGTCACTGGTTGCCCCAAACCGGCTAGTCATCCCCTGTGCTGAATTGCAAGGCTCTGCGCACACAGGCGTGTCAGGTAGCGTAGGTCTGATTTTTCTTGGAACTGCTGCTCCTCCTTTCCCGCTCCCTTCTGCCCTGGGTGCCTCTGCCAGCATCCTGAGAGTTCTTTCCCCGGAGACGCTCCCGTCCCGTCTCCCCGGATTGGATCCCTTGCCGTCCAAGTGACACATCTTCCTTTCTCGGTCTATTCTTTTGATCTGGTAGCATGGATTGTCTGTAGTTTCTGGATCAAGGTGGCTTGTGAGATCATGTTTTTGAGATCAGTGTCTTAATTCCATCCACGTGTGTGACTGAGGGATGATCCAGTAAGAATTTTAGACTGGAAATCACCTTCCTCGGGACTGTGAGGGCATTACCGTCCTCCGTTGGGAGGCTCACGGCCGCCGCGATCCCCCCGGCGTCACATCGGGCCCCGCTGCCGCCTCGCCCAGGGCCCGGCCTCTGCTGCCCGTCAGGAGGTTTTCCTGAGCAGACACAGCTCCTGCTGCAAGGGTGGCCACGGCACGGGGTGTCACAAGAACAGCCCTTCAGGTCTCGCCGTGAGTCGTACCTCACTGCTCAGTGGGGAAACTGAGGCGCGGGGGCCACGTGCCCCTGCCCAGGGCACTGCCCTGTGGGTCCAGGTATCACAGAGTAAGCAGAGGGCGCGGCTCCCAAAGAACCTTCACTTCTTTTAGGGCATTTTCTCTTTTTTCATGGATTCTTTAATGTCGCTGTGCTTGCTTTTCTAACAGTTACTATAGTTGTTTTCAACATTCGATTTTATATTCTGACAGAAATTTGACTAATTCATACCAGAGCTAAATGTCTTTGTATCTGTCACCGATCTCCAGGGAAATTAATCTGACCACTTTTTCAGTGGTTTATTCTTTCTCTATTTTCCCTAATTAGAAAGCTTTTCCCTTATTTTCTTAATTAGCTGTGTAGAAGCTTCACTCTGTCATTTGATCTCCAGACATAGTAGGAGAATGAAATGTGTGATTAACCGTCCTCCCCCGTCAACTCAGTATTCAGACTTAGCACTTGAACGACCCAGTCTGAAAACCGAAAGCTTGCATTTTTGCTAGAAAGGCTACAAAGCCAGGTTTGGTAGGAAGTCAGTCCTGCCCCGGCCGCAGGTGGTAGGTTCGCTGTGGGTCGAAGCAGCATTCGACGGGGCCGGAAATGAGTGTGTGTCGTCAGCACAGCAGCCGTGTCCCTGCTGGATTTAAGAAGCAGGACTCAGACCCTGTGCTACAGCTGTGGGGCCTTTTCTGTGGCCGGATGTGGGCCGTGGGGACTCGGGCCGTGCCCACCGCCCTCCGGCCCGGCTGCTGCAGGCAGAGCAGGTGCTCCCTGGCTTTGGCAGCGTGGGAAGCGGTGGGCAGCCGGGACCAGGGAGCAGGGCACACAGGCGGGTACAGCCCCTTCCGGAGCGGTCAGCCCCAGATCACAGCAGAGGCAGAAACGAAGAGTGACAGTCACTTGCCTTCGAGGACATGACGTCCCCAGAGAGAACGGAGAGTGCAGCTCAGAAACAAAGTCAGAACGGTGCAGTTTTAAGAGAAGGAATATCCAGAGTACGAAAACAAAAACTGGAGCAAATAGAAAGCTGCGCGGGAGAGATGCAGGATGAAGCAGAGGGATCTGACGAAGGTAGCCCGGGGCAGGCTGGGTGGCCGCTGTGGTTCTGGAGCGAGTCTGATTTTATCTTTAGGAGGCCCTCCTGTTGTCCCGAGACCAGCTCACTTAGAAAGTGTGTCTTTGCCCCAGTGAGGTGAAATGACATCTTTGTCACGCACTCACTCCCCGTGACGTTCTGTCCTGTCGTCTTTCTGTCTGTCTGTGCACCAGGGCCGTACCGCTTTAATTCTGGAGGCAGAAGCCGCGTCGGACTGGTTCCCGCATCAGACCCCTTTCTTTCTCTCCAGGGTTTTTCTAGCTGTCCTCACGCATTAATTGATCCATGTGAACTTTAGTATCAGGTTGGCTCCAAGAAACAGGACATGGGAAAATCTTTAATTTGATGGGCCCATCAGTCTGTAATGCAGTCCCTTTTTTTTTTTTTTTTTTTTTTTTTTTAACTTCTGGAAGGTTCTCTCAGATTGTAGATTCAAATATTATGTTTTATTCTTTTATTCTTTCAATTTCTTTGGGGACTCCAGTTATTTGTATGTGTCGTCTGTTTTCATTCCTCTAGATCTTTCGCTCCCTTTCTTCAGTGCCCTTTCGTTAGATTTTTACTGGAATTTGTTCTATGGGCATCTTATAATTTAGTCACCATTCCTGATAAGATTTTGACTTCTGTTTCTTCCTTGAGTTAAATCTCTTCATTTCTTCCTGCTTTTGTCTGGTTCTGTTCTTAATTTTTTATTTTTCTGACTCATTGAGGGTTTGCTTTGTTTTTCCTCTTTATTTCGGTTTGGGGTGCTGCGCTAGTTTCTTTTGCTTTGTGGATCTTTCTTTGGGTAAGAATTGTCGTCGTCTTCTCACCTTTGTTTGTGAGATGCGTCCCTGATGTTGGAGTAGCTGAGGTGTGGTGTTCTGTCGTGTGAGCACATACCTGAGCTCCTCTTGGTGAACATCTGCCTTTCCTCCTGAAGTCTGTTCCCTTTTGTGCCGTCCAGTCACATGAACTTGTTTGACCAGGAAGGAGAGCTTGTGCTTTAAAGGCCGTCTGCCTCCCCAGGGGCCCCACGTTTGCAAGTCCACAGAGCAGCAGGTCAGCCGTGGACCTACCTTCCTGCCATGAACTTGCTGCTGACAGCTAGACAGATGGCTTAGGTCTTCAGCCCCCGGGTCTTTGTCCGCCAGATACAGCGTGGGGTACGTGGGGGGCTGTTGGCCTGCCGTGGTCTTGCTCATCACGTCTGTGCTCAGACACCCTTTGCCCCGTTTTCTGCTGCTTCTGGTTTCTTCCCAGCGCTTATCGTGGGCGTCATACCCTGGTGCTGACTGAGACCACGTGCGTGTTTGTGCGTTCGCACGTTCATTTTCTGCCCTCTCAGCTGGTGGAAGTTTCGTGATGGCAGGGGCTGTGGGGTCTGGTTACTGTCATAGACCTGGGGTCAAGCACAGCACCGGGCACCAAGGAGACACTCAGGAAGCATGGTCAGCTGTGCGGTGGGAACACGATGGTGTGTCATCGGATTGACTGGGGATTAGCTCGTGCACAGGAGTGAGCGGTAGTGGTGGTGACTGCCCCTCCGTACGCATGTGCGAGTAGAGTGCCATGGAGAGACATTTTCCCAAGATTGCCACAACTGTCCTGAAATGGCATTAGCATTTCCTCGGCGGGTACACCACTGGTGACAGTCTTTGACCTGCCTAATGTGTGGCGTGGAAATGGTTGACTCACTGATTTGTTTTACTCACAGAGACATTAAACCTGACAATGTCCTTTTGGACGTGAATGGTCACATCCGCCTGGCCGACTTTGGATCCTGTTTGAAGATGAGTGACGATGGAACTGTAGGTATTTCTGTTGGAGATTTTTCGTTTGGTTCTGGGTTTTGCTTGTAGTTAGAAAGGACTTAACATTTCAATTTGAGATCCAATTAAGAAACCAAGTTTATGAATGTGAATTAAAAAGATTCACAGTTGGGGGACAGTTTAAATTTTCTAATTAAGTTGAAAACCTCGGTTTTGATGTCCATGTCTCATCAGTAGTACGTGTGCCTTCTAAGTTGGGGGTCGTCCCTTTCCTCACGTGGCGAGGTGGCTGAGCACGCCATTGCCGCAGCGACACGCAGGCCCCCTCGGTCCTTTCTTGAAACGTCTGGTGCGGGCCGGTCAGGCGCTCAGACGTTGACTGTGTTAGCGACTCCTCATTTCTGTGTGCGGGCAGGTAACATCCTGTCAGGCGGGGCTTTTCTCTCTGTGGGTGTTGTCCATCTAGAAACAGGGATCCTTGATACTAGGGTTACTCTCTTCCCACCAAATCAGTTTCTTATTTCCCCAGTCTTGACCACGTGTTGCTTAGTTGAGATTGGTGCTGCCCTCAACTCCAGCCTTCTGACGACAAGCGTGGTGGTCTCGGACTGAGCTCGAGTGTTGGTTCCCTTTCCTGCCCGCACGTCCCCTCACCCTTCCCATGCTGCCACCTCACGCCGGTCTCCCCACTGTCCACCGTACGGTTCCTGCAGCCAGGCAGCCGAGCGGGGAAGTGACTCTGGTCACATGATGGAGGCCGACCTCCCCGCCGTCCAGTCTGACCCGGGTGCTGCTCGTACCCCTTGGCCCCTCCTCAGACGTGACCTGAGGGAGAGTCTGTCTGGCCTTCCTGGGCCAGGCCTTCTGTTATGGTTGCTCCCTCAGTCTAATGGACTTTGTTCTCCATGCGCTCCAAGACCAGTCTGGTTCCTCAGCTGACCCGCTGCCCCCTTGTTTTCTCATGACGCTCACTGCCCTCACTGGCCACGGCTTTCTGGAGCGATGGCCCCACGTCAAGCCTGTTCCTGCTAACGTCAGTGGCTGAGGAACTGTCCTTTCCCTTGTAGAGGCCTGAGCCTCCTGGTTCCCCGTCTGGAGAATTCCTGAGTACCCAGCCAGTGCCTGGACTATTTCCAGATGTTCCCATTTGGGAGATGGAAGGGTAGGCCCTGGGGGAGCAGCCTTAGCGTCTGTGGAAACAGACATTCAGTGTCTTGGGCCCCACCCTAGAATTTCTGTTTCACAAGAGCCCGGGTGGCCTGTATGCACATGGAAGTTTGCGAAGGGTTGGCCTGAACACACATGGTTTCTGGACCGCACTTTGGGCAGTGACAGAGGATGTGGGAAATGCCACCCCTTGAGGGACCACTGGGGGCTGTGCTGGGCATGCGGGCAAGGAGAGACCAGGCATGCGAGGCCATCTCACACGTTCTGGAAACTGCCCCACGTTTATTGCTGCAGGAGAGCATTCATTCATTTGCAGTGAATTTTGAATTACTAGGGTTTCAAATCATGCTCGTGTGCTAGTTTTATTCCACGATTATTTCATCATTTGCTATCAGTGTTTTAGAGGGAGTATTGGGGAATTTGGAATCGGAGCTGCCCCAGGATTTCCCTCCAACACCCCCTCTCCTTCAAGGTCCAGTCCTCTGTGGCCGTGGGCACTCCTGACTACATCTCACCGGAGATCCTGCAGGCCATGGAGGACGGCATGGGCAAGTACGGCCCCGAGTGTGACTGGTGGTCTCTGGGCGTCTGCATGTACGAGATGCTGTATGGAGAGACGCCCTTCTACGCAGAGTCCCTCGTGGAGACCTACGGAAAGATCATGAACCACGAAGTAAGATGTCGCATCTCCACGTCCTGTTTGTTTGAGTCCCGAGGCAGGGGCCCAGAGGTGGGAGGGCTGCTGGGAAGCTGTCCGCGTCTTTGGGGAGGAGACGATAGGGTTGGAGCAGGCTGCTGGCCTCCGGACAGGAGCGGGGATTCGTGGGTGGAGTCGGCACAAGCTGCCCCCACGGGAGGTGTGGGCGTGGGGGGAGAGAGAGCGAGCGTCGAGCCGGAGTGGCGGTGTCTCCGCGGCGGGCCTCCGCGGGGCTGTGCCGGGTGTGGCCTCGGGATGGCGGGCGGCGGGGGGCCGTTGGGCCCTTCCACCTGTGGGTCTGGATTCATCAGTGTGACCACAGCTGCTCTTCTCGAGTCCGCTTCCCGGAGATTACGTGTCCGGACCAGGCCAGGCGCCTGTGCGTGGCACTCTCCCACCTCCTTGACCCGGCTTCCTTCTCCCTTTCCAGCTGTGCCTTTCCCCCCTTGACCTTGCCTGCCGTCGGCCTCGCCTTCATTTCTTGTTCGTTTCCCGTTGCTCTTCCGCTTCCTGTTCTGTCACCTGTTTCCCTTAGTCACATGTGTCCTCCTGCCGCTCCCACCCTGTGGCCGTGTGCTCACCACCTCCTTCCCCAGTCTGTCACCCGCACCCCCCAAGTGAGCTTCTCTCTGCTGACCGGTCCTCAGCCCCGTCCTCCAGCAACTCTTCGTGTTGGGGGCCCGTGAACACTAACGTGGTGGGTGGTCTGCCATGTAACTCCCAATCAGGGCAAGCCATGGTTTTTAAAGACACTTTCCCAGAATAGAGATGATTGTTTTCACTTGGAAGTTAGCTTAGCCTTACCAGAAAAACAGCACAAAAGTGCGTAGCGTAGACGGCGGAAATCACCCCCTCCGCGTCTTGGCGATAAATGCCTTCACGGTACCGAACAGGACTCCGTGGATTCTAAAGAGCCTGCTGGCAAGGAGCACGTGCCCCTGTGGGGCCTGGTCCGGCGCTTCCTGTGCGCCCGCCGGTCTGATCTTCGGTAGCGTTCCTGCCCTCCCTCTTTCTGGATGATCGAGGTGGGGCCTGGGCCTCAGCGCTCGGGCCCGCTGCCGTGCTGGGTGTGTGTTTGTGGGGCCGCGTCTGAGTGAATGGCATCACGTCACCTACGACCAGGTGTTTCGTCATCCTTCTGTCCAGCGCACGACGCTTTTCTGTAGAACAAAATCTTAGGAGTAGACTTGCGCCAGATGCTGGCAGACGCACTGTGGAAGAGCTCCGTGCCAGCCGGTTCCGCCACAGCGTGTGGTCGGCGCCCTTTGCCACTTTGATGGGTGAAAATTTATCGTTAATTTACATGTAACATGGTAACGAGTAACCAGCACGACTAAGGATTTTCTCATTAGAATCAAATGTCGTTAGCTTTGGTTTGCATTTAGCTACCGTGAAATTGGAAAGGACTGTTGACTCTGTTCTGTTTCCTGTAATGTCTGTACATCTTGGGTTTTTCTGAATAAGTTCTCATCTCATGTCCACCGGCCGCTTGCCCCCCAGGAGCGATTTCAGTTTCCGTCCCACGTCACGGATGTGTCTGAAGAAGCCAAAGACCTCATCCAAAGACTCATCTGCAGCAGAGAGCGCCGGCTGGGCCAGAATGGGATAGAAGACTTCAAAAAGCATGCGTTCTTTGAAGGTCTGAATTGGGAAAATATACGAAACCTGGAAGCACCTTATATTCCCGATGTGAGCAGTCCTTCTGACACCTCCAACTTCGACGTGGACGACGACGTGCTGAGAAACACCGTAAGTGTGAACAAGCACCTCCGTCCCCGTGGCGTCCCGGTGGGTCTGAAGCCAGCAGTGGTCTGTTGGAGGGTGTGGATTGTCAGTAGGATCTTAGAGCCGTGTTGGTTCTTTTTAAAAGTCTGGCGTTGTGTTTCCAGAAAATACACCTTTTATTCCGGCCTTCAGCTTGGTAGTAATGTCCCCTTTAAAACACAGAGACCACAGCCACCTCCTTTCATTGTGCTTTGCAGATACTGGGTTTTTACAGATTAAAGGTTCGTGGCAAGCCTGCCCCCAGCAAGTCTTCTGGTGCCATTTTTCCAACAGTATTTGCTTACTTCGTCTCCCGTGTCACGTTTTGGTGATTGTCACAGTATTCCAAACTTTTTCATTATTACTGCATTTGTTGCAGCGATCTGTGGTCAGTGCTTATGACTTGCTGAAAGCTCAGATGATGGTTAGCATCTCTTAACAGTGTTTCTGTTTAAGTTCATTTATTTATTTTGAGAGAGAGTGTGTGTGTGAGTGCACAAGTTGGGGAGGAGCGGGGAGAGAGAATCCCAGGCTCCGTGCTCTGCGTGGAGCCTGGCGTAGGACCCCATCCCACAACGGTGAGATCATGACGCGGGCTGAAATCAAGAGTCAGATGCTTCACTGACTGAGCCACCCAGGTGCTCCCCTCCTCCCCCCAGTAAACTATTTTGTTTTTAACTTGTTTTAATGTTTATTTATTTTTGAGAGAGAGACACACACACAGACAGAGCACCAGTAGGGGAGGAACAAAGAGAGAGGGAGACGCAGAATCCAAAGCAGACTCCAGGCTCCGAGCTGTCGTCACAGAGCCCGATGCGGGGCTCAAGCTCACGAGCTGTGAGATCATGACCCAAGCTGAAGTTGGATGCTTAACCAGCTGAGCCACTCAGGTGCCCCCTCTGTTTTTAAATTAAGTTATGAAATTTATTTGTTCAGACATAATGCTGTTGCACACTCAGTAGACTATAGCATAGTGTAAACTTTCACATACACTGGGAAACCAAAAATACACTTGACTCGCTCTGTTGTGATACTTTATTGTGGTGTCTGGAACCACGCCCAAAATTTTTCCGAGGTCCGCCTGTACTCCGCTTGAGTAAAATGGAGTTAAATGGCTCTTCTCCTTTAGACTCACCAGAAACACTTACGCTGTATTTTCATGGCACTCAGCAGTGTCGGAGATGTTACCATCCTGGAGCTTCACCTCAGCCCTGTCACCACTTGCAGACTTCGAGGCCCTGAGCTGGCGAGGGGCTCGGCCTGCAGCCCCACGGCGGACTTGGAGCCCCTGGGACTCTGGTCCCCCCGCATGAGCACCTAGCGCTCCGGCCGTCACGGTTCTGTGTCTGCACGTGTGTTTCTTTACACGGCCGGGCTTTGGGAGCAACCAAGACTGTGTGTGGCTTCTGAGTCCTCCCACTGACGCCTAACGTCGTGGATCCTCCAGGTTGGGCCCTGGCTCTGGGGCCGTCCGGTGCTGGGCTGGTCCCACGGCCTCTGGTGCGTGAGTTGGCACCGTCTTGTCTTTGCTCAGAGACTCTAAGGTTATTTTGATCTTCTCAAATCTAGCCTTTTAAGTCCATACAGGTGACTTGTTTTGGGGATAGAAGAGGTGAGGTTTGACCAAGTGGAAGAAAAGTCTTGATCACTCCCTAGGGAATTTCTCTGACTCAAATAAGAGCTGGACCGTAGACCTCCTGGAGAAAAGACAGAGAAAAATAGTGGCATCGTGGAAAGGGTTTTCTTAGACTGCACAGAAACGATTTCTACAATGACATTTCCCAGATAAAGTATAACTCTGGTTTCATGTTTAATAAAGGATTCTGACACTGAAAACCAGAGTCTGTAACACATTAATCTAAAATAAATAAACCTAATCAAAAATAAATCTAAAATAAACCCATCTACCTTGGGTTCCAAGCCTACCTCTGCCGTTGGCCTCTGTTTCTCCCAAGAGCCTGAGAGCCCCCAGCCTCTGCCTCACAACCCTCCCGGGGCTGCGCCAGCGCCCGCCAGCTCGCCTCTGCTCAGGGCCGACGAGTGTGGCACCAGGGTGCCATCCAAGTGTGCCCTGGGTCATTAACCATCCTCTGAAGCAGTGTGTTTGTTCTCTTAACTGCATCGTGGGCACAGCCAGGACTGAAAATACAAGTCTGCCAGTGCTGTGCCCCCTCGCGGGGACGCTGGGCTCGGTGTCCTAGAAGGCCACGTGATTCTCTCTAGTGCACGCAGTTTCACCCGTTGCTAATGTTCTTTCCCTTTGTTCTAACATGGATTTCATGTTGTTGTATGTGTTCTCATGCAGGAAATATTACCTCCTGGTTCTCACACAGGCTTCTCTGGGCTCCATTTGCCATTCATCGGCTTTACATTTACAACGGAAAGGTGGGTCCAGCTCTGTGGTTCCCCAGGCGGAGGCTTCCCTTGGGCGAGATGGCAGTTGATGGGCGAGCTCCGGGCGGGTGGGTGCTGCATCAGCCCTGGGACAGCCGTGCCCCAGGGAGCTGTGGGCAGGTTTGTCCTTGAAAAAGGACACCTGATGAAAACACACAGTGACCTGTAGCAGGGTCGTCCGGCTTCTCCACAGAGGGTGGTCTCTGTCAGGTAGTCATCTTTTTTTTTAACAACCCTTTAAATGTGAAACCCATTCTTAGGTCATGGGAGGTGCGGTCAGCTGACTTCTGACTTACAGGCCGTCAGTGTTGTCAGGACTCATTCCAGTAGACTTTCAGGGGCTCCTGGTCAGGCCCAGCTTTCGTTACGGCACTGTGCTAGCTTTTGTGAGGATCTTATTGCAGCTCTGTAGCTCCCTCCGGGGGGCTGGAGCATGGTCCCAGACAGGCTGGCAGTCTGGAGAGCCAGGAGGGCTCCAGCCCTGAGCGCCGCCGTGACTGTACCTGTCAGCCTCTGTCTTGAATGGGCCTCTTTGCCAAGTTGTTGCCTGAGGGTTGTACCTGCTTTGAACAGGAAACTGGGCCAGGAGGGGAGGGGAGGGAGGGCAAAATGAAACAGACGGAACCTCGAAGCGCCTGAAGGAGGGCTACGTGGCCTTCTAGCGGCTCATACCTCAGTGGACGGGAACTCCTTCCGGAGAGGACGGTTTCTGCTCAAGCCCGCGGAAACTCTCCTGGTGTAAGGTGCCAGGGCTCAACAGCACTTCAGCCAGAGTGACGGCAGACGCCTTGTAGCCTGCAGGAAGGGGTCTTAGATCTGGGAGGCACGATGACCTCTTAATCCCTCATGCAGAGGTTCTGGATTTTTCTGATCCGTTCCAACTCAGTGGGCACTTGTTAAACCTGCAGGTCCCAGGCCCACCCGCCAAGGCTCCAGTTTGGCAGGTCAGGCCCAGGGCCGCCATCCTGGGACAGACCCTGTGGTGCTGGCACCGCGTTCTCGGGCCACCTTTGAGAAACACTGGCCAGGCCCTTGCATACCCGTGTGCCCGGTACCTTTGCTGCACTCCGGGCGGCAGGACTCGGAGAAGGCTCCCTGGCATCGCTGTCGTGTTAAAAGCGGGAGGAACTAAGTAACTGGTGGCCTGGTTCTGAGGGAGAGAACCACTTGGGGTCTCAGTCTGGGTGCGTGCAGGCTGCGGACTGGCTCTGGTGAGTGGCCGTGCCGCCCCGAGTACTAGCGGCCGTCGAGTCTGCAGGGGAAGGTGAGCCCTGTCCTCAGACTGCTCAGGAAGCCCTCGGCGGCAGGACTGCCCAGGGCCGTCCAGCGAGGGCTTGGCGAGGCCCCCGCGCCCAGCTCCTCACACGGATGTCTCCTGTGGCGTTTCTGGGCGCGCGTAAACGATGACGCAGAAAGTACGCTTGCCTCCTTGGCAGAGGCCTTTTCCTTGACCCCTTCTGAGGGCACGGCCTTGTCCGCCACCCCCCCCCC